TTAAACAATGCTGCCGGTATATAAACAAAATATTGACCTCTCAACGTAATAAACGGAGAAGTATTATTTTGGTCATTTAGATATTCAACTGAATCAGCGCTAAATTAATTGATTTCTCATTGAGTTTTCATTTCGCTATTTTACACTGCCTGAAAACAAAAACAAAAAAAAAAATATGCATTTTGTTGTTGTCGTTAAGCTACTGCTTCATTGTTTAAATCAATTGATTTCCGCCATTGAAATGCAACCGAGCGTAATCACATTTATTCGGCGAAACGGCGATGCAAGCATAAAACATATAAATCATAAAAACTAACAAACTTCAGTCAAGTGTTACTTTTACGCGCTGTCATCATGCCATTCATTATTACGCCTTCKTTTGTTTATTTATGAGTATGTATGTATATTTTCGTTTTTTGATTTTTTTTGTTTTGTTTGCTGGCGATTTTCAATTACAATGCATTATTTATATTTCCTTTGATATCGTGTGATAAAACTACGAACGCACGAACAAACCGCAAAATTACCCCAACTTAAAACGCAAAGCGTACGTACTAAACCGTTAGGCGACGCTTTTCTTACTGAAACGCAACGTATTGGCCAAAATTGCAAAATCGTCATAGCCAAGTCCAAACACACACGGTCCCAACACACAGCGGCCAACAGTCCGTGGCAGCAGCCAGTCAAGCTGCGAGTTGTACGCTCATCGTCAGCTGTGACGGCGACAGCGACGCCGACGATGCCAAACAATGCTTCGGTTCAATACGAATGGCAGTTCTGAATACTAACCAGTTGAGAACTAACAGCTACTGGTGAAGAAAAGGACTCTTGCAGCGCGAAGCGTGAATGCTGAAAGGCTTGAAAACGTAGCTATATGGATAGMTTTCGCCAATGCGAAGTGTTTTGTAACGGTTTTCGAAATTCGAAAATAAAATTTTGCTTAATCTTAGAAGCATTTGATAGTACTATTGCTTTATGAAATCTATTTTGTAGCTTAAACTCATAACTGAATATTATTTCTTAACGCCTTCGGTTTTATCCATATCTTTCCTTTTTGCTTTTTTTTTTATTCAATCAGCGCTGTTCGCTTTTCGTAAATTCACTTGGCGCTTTCTCGTTATTCGAAAATCTTATAAAATTCAGAAGCGTTCTCTATTGATAGTCGAACTTCGATAAACGTATACTGCGATATGAAATACTGTGCCTCAGTCGCTCGCTCGCTCGTTTCACACAAATCATCGCGCTCGCACTCTCTCCCCTCACCACAGATTACTCTCATAAAATATTTACGAATTCTCGCTCTCATTCTCACCTACAATGTACTCTGTTCACGCTCTCTCTTTTGCTCAAATTCGAATACCTTCAACTCCGGCATACCGTTACTCAACATTGTTTCGCTATTTCGCAGTTGGARTGTCATGAAAGTGAAACAGGCGTTGCGTGTCAATACACAGTTGTTGAATACAACTTCCAACGTCGTGTTTCAGCTTCGTTGCCGCCAACCTCAACGGTTGGCTGCTAGCTGTCATTGTTCTCGTTTCATTTCTCGCTGTTCGTSACTTCGGTTTTTTGCGTGTGCGTATGTGTGCATGCACACATATGTGCTGTGGAATGTTGAATCCTTTCGGTAATCGATTTGATGCAGTGCGCCGACGCTGTGCCGAAGCGAAAGAGGCATTTTTACTGGCATCACTGATCCAACTGTAGTCCGTTTAAGTATTATGTGAGACAGCCCGTTTGCCATCCGACCCCAAACGAATTACCAAAGCACAGTCGGTCGGTGTGTGTGTGTGTGCGTGCATGTGGATATTTGTCTGTGCTATTGGCGTGCTTCTACGTTTGTTGCTTTTGCTGGCTCTGTGGCCTGTTGGAATCCCCTTGGGGACTCATGCACACACAGCCATATATATATTAATATACATTGAAATGTGTTTGTTTATTTGTATGTGTGCTTGCTAGGCTTCGCAAAAACGCGACTTGGTTTCGGCTCA